CGGATCTGTACATTAAATATTTTTTTGGAAAATCTTGTTGAAATAGTCATTATCGATACGGGGGCCGAATCTATAGTTTTTAGAATTTATGTCTAGACAGACATGCATTCCCAGACAGAGGTCTCTCTCACGAGAAAACCACTGGGCAGGTTTTTTTTGAGATTTGGTATGATGATAGCTGGTTATCCGGGTCAATATATAGGATACTTTTTACTGCGGGAAAATATCTCATCTCTAAAAAACTATACGCTAGTATGTACACTAATAAATATATAATTTAGTACTTACTTGTTTCATACTTGATTGTATGTACTATATATATATATATATATATATATATATATATATATATATATATATATATATATAAGCTACTTTTACAAGGGAAATCATTTAACGAGGAGATATAAAAATGTTATTGACATATATAAAAATCTCCTCTTGACCGAGTTCGGTCACGGCGTATGAACTTCCTGAAACTATTTATTTAGGAGATATAGTGCACAAGTGTATGAGCAGACAGTCCTTACACTCTCATATAATAACTCGATCGGTAATACATGAAGCGCAGGGGGTGTAAATATACCTGTATTCCATTACATAAAAACCCAGTAGCCGTTTTGGCCCGACTCGGGAGTAGAACCCAGGACTTCACGATTTGAGCCGTACATAATAACCTAAACCAAAGGCACAACACTGGTTACAAAAACCCACAAAGCAGTTAAATTCTACAATACGGTTTGCAGCATTATAATATTATTTTTGCGAAAAATTATCAAACTTCTATGGCTGCTTAGTAAAAAGTTTAAATGGCTGCAAAAGCGACAAACAATTATATCTATATCACGTTAAAATCTATACGTATAATAAAATTGTAACTAAGCCGAATCTGTACATTAAATATTTTTTTGGAAATCTTATTGAAATAGACATTATTATCGATACAGAGGCCGAATCTATAGTTTTTAGAATTTTTGTCTGTCTGTCTGTTACCGCATCACGAGAAAACCACTAGAGGGATTTTGGTGAAATTTGGTATGATGGTAGCTGGTTATCCAGGTCAATATATAGGATTTTTACCGCGGGAAAATGTCTCATTTCTGAGAAAAAATACAAAACTGCAATGTAAGAGTATACTAATATGTAAAACCTAAGAATTTCGTTTTTGGTCATCTGAATGCGGGCCAAGCCGCGGGCAATGCTAGTAAAATATAAACCGCACAATATGAACGACGTAAGAACTCGTAGTTCAGCATCGCGTTAATTAAGTTAAGTTCAATTTTACAATACCTAATTGAATTATAAAATATCCGGTCAAGCGTTTTAGCGTACTTTTAAGGTTGGTAAATATTCCAAAGGGTGCTAACGGGCCCTTCATTTTCTTAATCTGTAATATTAAAGAGACAGATTTTACTGTTAAAATGGACATGGTATATTAATTTGACGTTAGAAAACTTTTTAACAAAAAAATAAAAACTGACTTCAAACAAAAGCACTAAAAAGTAAAAAAATAACTGATTGGTAGTTTTCATTTTCATACCTAATCAAATATTTTCGAAGTCGGTGTGCTTTGCTTTGTATCAGCAGGCACCGACTTCGAAATTTCTAACAAACAAAACAAAAATTGTTCAAATCGGTTAATAAATGACGGAGTTCTGAGGTAACAAACATAAAAAAAACATACAGCCGAATTGCGAACCTCCTCCTTATTGAGGAAGTCGGTTGAAAATCAAGAAGTTTCAGAAAGTGCAATTTGAACATTAATTGTAAAACTTCCTAGTATTTACAAAAAATATTTTAGAAATCTATACTAATATTATAAATGTGAAAGTTTGTGAGTGTGGGTGTTTGTTACTCTTTCACGCCAGAATGGTTGAACGTATCTGGATGAAAGACACAGAGATATATTATAGTCTGGAATAACACATAGGCTATTTTCTATCCCAGAAAAATGTACGGCTCCCGTGGGATAGGTTTGTTTTCGTTTTCCTAGAGGCAAACCCGAGCGTAGCGAGGGTGAGCCGCTAGTCTGTCAACATGATTTAAATTTTAACTTTTAGTTTTGATAATCTTAGAATGTGGGTGAATATTCATCAATTCTAATTCTAATTTCATCAATGATCTATCGCCATAGGGTATATAATCTTTGAATTTATTGTTAATTTTATGCTTAAATACTGAACAAGTCATAACTTATTATAAGTTACTGAGGAAGCTGATCATTTTAAACAAACGATAAACAAATTGAGATTAATAAATTGTTTTTCGACTACAATCGCTTACTTAGTATTTCAATAGCCAACATTCATAATTTCTCATTTGAAATCATAATAACTCACTTAAAACTACCCGTTCTAAACCATGTATATTTATTCTTTCAATCTTTATATTTATAAAACTTCATTAGTAGTCATGTACCAGTGAATGATCGGAAGAAAGATCGATGGGTTTACATGCTCTCCGAGGAGAGGGTAACATACTTACCGACTTTGTGTTGCTACTGAGAATTTCTTTAGCAGAAGAACTATCACTGTTTTTTGGCTCTTGGGACTCAATTCTAGGATTTCATAATCTGCTACAGTACCTATATGTTAGCTACTAGGTCCAAATCAGCGTAAATAAATTATGAATATCTATACATTAATCAAATTTTAGATTTTTTGTTGTATTGCGAATCATATGAGTATATAATCGTACCAGGCAAATTTTTGTTGTAGATGCAATTTAAATAGATTGATTTCTCAATACCTTGTGCCGTTTCTATTAATTTGATATCGTTTTATCATAATATTTTATTGAGGCAATATAATCGATACGATATCGATTATATTTTATACTTTGTATTGTAATTGTTTTTTACACGTGGCGGTCACTTTTCAGTTTTATGTGTCGTAAACTTTTCATAATATAAATGTTAAATAAAAATATCCTATTATTGGGCCACCTAATATTATGGTCATATGCAGTGGTAGCCCAGTGGTAACACGCTCGCTTGGGAAACCGAGTGAAGCGGGTTCAAATCCCGGGTCTCGCACCTCTGATATTTTCGTGCACGAATCATTTCGAACAAGATAACTACTTGTCTTATGATGAAGGAAAATATCGCGAGGAAACCTGCGTGTCTAAAATTTTAACTATTTACTGAAAAAAGACGCTTTTAAGTCGTTACGACGGTTACATCACTTACAAGTAGGCTAAATTCAAGGTCATATATTCGTTTACATGCAAGATTAGATATATATATATATATATATATATATATATATATATATATATATATATATATATATATATACTTAAATATAAATATCTATTGGTAAAATTGCTTAGTGTTTTTTGGATTTGGACACACTCATACTCGTAGTCCATTTAAAAGTAAAAGACGCAGAATTTTATTATCTTAGTTTACGTGCGTATTTTACCTAATGCATAATAATATGGCCGTTGCAGCAGTGTTTAAATATTTTAATCTATTTGATTAAAAGAGAAATAAAAACCGTGCTTAGAATTCAACGACTTATCATGTCATTATATTCTTCTTTTTTAACATATTTGTCACAAAATGTAATTTAAAATAAGGTTAATAAAAATAGACAAGTTTAAAAAAGATGTGTGTGTTTATATATTTGTGCCTACACATATAAAGAATGTAGTACTACAGAAAATTTCACCTACGAGTATCTACATGTAAATATTTTTACCTGCATTGGATCTACAAACCGAATGAGTTCGGAAAAATTGAGTTCATTATCGATTCAAAAGGCCAGCCGTGCGGGTACCTGTGATACGGCCTTGTTTACTTTCGAATCAACCCGCTTTGGTCTAAAATTGTGTTATTTAATTTAAATTCATTGAGATGTAAAACGTGTAATAGATATTTGGTTAAATAAACCAGGATTCAACTGGTTTATAAGTTATTTTCAGCTGTAAATTTTAAGCTTAAATTATGTTTTGATTTTACCAATCCAATTAAAGGGTTAAATGTAAGACCTTTATGTACTTACTACGATTTTGATGATATACGAATACGTCACTAGATTCGTATTTCAGTTGTCTTGAGCTTTATTACTCTCTTTATGACATTTCTCTTAAAACTCTACGTCCCATAAATGTTAATTAGTTTTTAATCTGTGGTGAAATTTAGTATTCAGTCCGTTCTGTATATTTTTGTTTAAATGTATCAAATATAATATATTAAGTGGAAAATTAATTATTAACTACTAACATAATATGTTTTATTATTATGTATGTATCTATGTTTATTTAGATATGTTTGTTGTAGGTCTAGATTTTAAAATAAATTGTTCATATCTCTTTTTACCGGTTAATAGTTATTCCACCACATTATACCGTCTGCTCCATACTACACGACATTATATATAATCACACAAACACAGCTCACACGTCTGGACTACGTGTTAAATAGTTATAATTAATATATATATATATATATATATATATATATATATATATATATATATATATATATATATATATATATATATATATATCCGTTATCAAAAACGTCAAACATATAATATATATATATATATATATATATATATATTGTATATATATATATATCAGTTATCAAAAACGTCAAACAGAACGGGTGTTCTTTGCCCACTTCCAGTTTCTAAATTCATGTTTTGGTGTATAAAGTGGTTAAATTATACTAATTTGTGACATTTGTGATTTTTAGTATTATGTACAATCATTGACAATTGAAGACTGTGCCTATTTGTAAGCGTAAAAGTGATAAAAATATAATATGCAAGTGATATAAGCTATGTCTACCTTCAAATGTAAAAATTAACATACTCGTATATAAAAGTTCATGACAGCAACTACCAGTATATGGAATATTTCGCAATTAAAGTTAAACTGACGGTGGACTCTGTTAGAAGATTGTAATTAAACGCTTCGAGTAACCCGGGTTCGAATCTCACTCTAAATAATATTTTTTCAAATATTTAATTATTTATCTGCACTTCTTTAAAATGACTAATGAATGTTGTGCCTGCAATGCAAGTGTACTTGTCACCCAGAAAAGAATAAAATGTGTTAAATGCCAGGCTCAATATCATTTAGAGTGTATAACATCCTTTGGTAACAAGCCTATAGTAACGCGAGGACAGTGGACATGTCCAAATTGCCATAATAATAATCGGAACAATATTAATAAAGGGCCATCCCCGCCACTGGCGAACACAAGCAAAGATAATTTCGATAACCATAGCGACTGGCTAGCTGCAATAAGGAACGAAGTAAAAGAGGTACTATCTCAAACAGTCAGCTTAGAATTAAAAAGCATACGTGAGGAACTAACTGGTTTGCAAAGTATTAAACAATCTTTAGAGTATTTATCTAGTCATTTTGATTCAATTAAGCAAGAGTTGGAGGAGGCTAAAAAGGAAATAACAAGCTTAAAAAAGGACAATTACGATCTTCGTCAGGTGTTAAATTCCCAAAATAACACAATTAATAATCTGGAGAGAGAAATAAGAGCTACTAATCTAGAGTTACATTGTGTGCCAGAACATAGGAGTGAAAATTTAGTCACAACAATTGAGCAGATCGGAAGAGTAATAAATGTACCATTAACAGAAGGTGCAATTTCTAAGTGTACACGCATAGCTAAAATTAATAAAGAGACATCACGTCCGAGATCGGTTCTAGTAAAATTTAGCAATCCTTTACTGCGAGATAGTTTCCTAGCAGGTGTGATAAAATTTAATAAGAGTAATCCGGATAGTAAATTAAATACATCACATCTTGGCATTTCTGGGGATAAGAAGCCAGTGTATATATCGGAACATTTAACTTCAACGGCAAAGGATATTTACGCTGCGACACGAATTTTCGCAAAAGAAAAACAGTATCGGTTTGTGTGGTCACGTAACGGTAATATTTACCTTCGAAAATCGATATCAAGTGACGTAATACTAGTTAAGTCGAAAGAGTTTTTAAAAACATTACAATAAACTATTTTATTTGCAGTTATTGTATTTCAGACCTGTTTGTAATTTGTATTTTTTTAGGATAAATTAGAATAGTTTGTTGTTTTTCTTTATCAAATGGTAAAGAACTTAAGGATTTTTTTACCAAAATGTAAGAGGCATACGAACTAAAACTAATGTTATTTACCTTGCAATTCTTAGCTGTGATTTTGATATTATAATTTTCACTGAAACGTGGCTAAATAATAGCATAACTAGCAATGAAGTTATTGATAATCGTTACACTGTCTTTCGCCGAGATCGTGAATCAAGCGACAGTTGCAAATTGGACGGAGGAGGAGTACTAATTGCCGTTTCTAAACGGTACAAGAGTGTTAGGATAAACTCTTGGGAAACCAAATATGAAGACCTTTGGGTAAATATTATACTAGACTCAACTCCTGTTTCTATTTGTGCAGTCTATATTCCATCGCCTTTAAAGTGTGATGTACTTGAAGGTTACATTAATAATGTGGAGAAAATTATAAACGAACAATCCTGTACCATTCTGATAGGAGACTTTAATATACCAGCAATTCATTGGACTTACAAAGAGTTTAACCATAAAAAACTTACCCCAGATAATAACAGCACAGTGGGCGCATTAATAAATGACTTTATGGCAGTAACAAATTTATCTCAACATAATGGTATATGTAATTCATATGGAAAAATTTTAGACCTAGTTTTTAGCAATTGTAACAACATAAGTACAGAATATAGTTCATTTTCTGCATGTCCAATAGACAAATATCATCCACCTTTAGAAATTAATTACGAAACTTATTGTAAGGATACCTTACTAAGTCCCAGCACAATGGTGAAATACAAATTTATAAGTGCTGATTATAATATAATTAATGCAAAATTAGCAGAATTAAATTGGGAGCAACTATTTCAAAACTGTGTCAATGTAAATGAAATGACAGAAATTTTCTATAATGAGATACGCAAAGTTATTGAAAGGTGTATTCCAAAAAGAAGTGTCAGGAATAAAACTTTTTATCCTGTGTGGTACTCTAACAGCTTAATTAAAAGACTAGCTGAGAAAAATAAATATAGAATACGTTGTAAGAAATATAAAAACCCATTAGATGAAATTGAATTTAAATTGCTTCGAGACAGGTGTGAATTTCTTATAAATATAGAATACAAAAATTACATTGATAGGGTGGAGAGCAATATAACAATTGATCCTAAATTTTTTTATTCATTTTTAAAGGAAAAGCGTTCCAATAAATGTGACTACCCAGCCATTATGACACTAAAAGGTTCTACATTTACCAACGGAACAGACATATGTGATCAATTTGCTAATCATTTCTCAAGTATATATACACCGAGCAGAGTAACGTCTTTGAATTTTTCTCAGGATGAATTCCAAAAATCTTATTTACACAGGATAAACATTACGGAAACTGAAATAGTAAGTAAATTAAGAAGTCTAAAAACAAATAAAGGTGCTGGACCAGATGATATACCTCCAATCTTTGCTAAACGTTGCGCAATATTCTTAGCTAAGCCGTTGCTATTAATATACGAGAAATCTTTAGATGAAGGAGAATTTCCGGCAAAGTGGAAAAAAGCTCGGGTTGTTCCTATATTTAAAAATGGCGACAAAAAGGTAATATCAAACTATAGACCAATATGTATATTATCAATATTTGGTAAAATCTTCGAAACGCTAATTTGTCAATCACTTAATTGGCATATGAAATCTATGATACATGAGGAACAGCACGGATTTATCAGCAATAGATCGACCATATCAAACTTAACCTTATTTGTTGATAACTTGTCGGAGTCATTAGACAAAGGTGACCAAGTAGATTGTATATCTACAGACTTTGCAAAAGCCTTTGATATGGTCAATCATTCAATTTTAATCCAAAAACTTAACAACTATGGCATCCATGGCAGGTTACTTGACTGGTTAAAATCATACTTAATAAATAGGGAGATGAATGTAGTTATTGGAGGATATCAATCACATTCATTTATCGCTACCTCTGGAGTACCACAAGGCTCTCATCTCGGGCCCATTTTATTCGGAATATTCATTAACGACATAGTAAAATGTTTTAAATATTGTTATTTTCATCTCTACGCAGATGATCTTAAGATTTATAAAAAAATAGAAAACATAAATGACTCATTATTAATGCAGCAGGACCTTAATAGATTGCTTGTGTGGTGTAACAAGAATCAACTGAAATTAAATTGCCAGAAGTGTTTCACTATTACATTTAGCAGAAAATTAAGTAATGTTCATTACGCGTATAACCTAAATGGAGATGTACTAAATAATATAAAAGAAATAAATGATTTAGGCATCACGATAGACAATAAGCTAAGTTTTGTGCCGCATGTAGATTATTTATTAAAAGTAACATTAAAAACAGTAGGCTTTATTATGAGAAACACTAAAGAATTTAAGAAATCACAAACCAGATTAGTATTATTTAATTCAATGGTGAGAAGCAAATTAGAATACTGTTCTGTTGTATGGAATCCATTCTATCAAGTACACAAGGACAGAATAGAGAGAGTACAAAAGAAATTTTTGAGACACTTAACTTATAAAGATAATAAGATAAATGAGAATAATAATTACACTGACATGCTTAGATATTATAAAACTCTTTCCCTATCAAGTCGTAGAACAATGCTAGATGTTTGTTTTTTACATAAACTCATAAGTGGAGGAGTAGATTGCAAAAATTTATTGACAAAAATTATGTTTTCTATACCGAGACAGAACGCAAGAGCCCATATAAAAAGAAAATGCACTTTTCAATGTCGAAAGGTAAAGTCTAACTTAGGCACAACTGCTCCTTTAAACAAGGAGCCGTAAGGAGCTATAACTTGCTTTTTAGCAAGGCAAAAATTGACATTTTCAAAGACTCCGCCACGTCATTTAAGAATAAATTAAAAAAATATTTCACACACTCGCAATAAAAAAAAAATGTTTGTTATGCCACTTGCATTTTTAGTTAATTTTTGGGTTATTAATTATGTCGTTTTTTTTTTTTTTTATTTAAATACATTTTTCAATTAACTTACGGTACTGATTTTTTATTATAATGGTTGTGTAGACTATAGTAATGATTTTTATTGTTTATGGCTGTAATTTTGTTTTTATTTTCATTTTGTACTGTTTTTTTTAATCTTTAATTTAGTTTTTTGTTTGGGTGTGGGAATTAGGGTTGGAAGTAGAGAACGCCTTATTATATTACATGTTGAGCTAGCCTGTAAGTGTGATGTACAGTGTAATACTTTTTAAATTTGTTTTATATTTTTAGTGTTATATCACATTGTATGTTGCGTTGGCTTGCCTAATAAATAAATAAATAAATATATATATATATATGTTAGTTTTAAGGTATATATTATGCTATGGGCTTCTGTTTTCATATTTAAGATCCTTATGTAAATTTTGCCTGAAATAAATGATTAAATAAATAAATAAAAAATAAAAGCTGTAAAATAAAAAGTTAAATTGCATGTTTTCCTTGATATATTTAACAGTCAAATTTTAATATAACAGTAGGACTCACCCTCTCTTCGTTCAGATGCGTCACTAAGTGCCCCTTTTATAATATTAAGTACAGACAGCGTCAACGTTTTCGAAAACTTTATTACTATGTGTTACTTAAGGTCATTTTCTATCTATGTAATGAATTTCATCCGAATTTGTTCAGCATTTTCTACATGAAGGGGTAACAAACATACAGTACCGTGATACATATCTAAGCATGTATTATTACATCAAATACGTAGATTTTTTACTTACCATAATTCGATATATAGAGAATATTGTAATATATTGTCATTTATATCAAATTTACCCTGTTGTTTCGCCAATTAATAACGACAATTACAAAATTAACGTCAAACGGCTAATGAAGTTAGAAATGCGATCCCTATCGCTATCTATTAGCTGCGTATTAGCATATTATGTTAATATATAATCCCACTCTCAGTAAGAAACCTCGTTTGTAATGGTAATGTGTTTGGAAGTTAGTTCAATTTGCATTATAAACTACATACGCATTGCGAGTAAAAGTTTTACTTAGCAATAAAATTTTGTATCTCATTTAAAGCTCCGTATCATATATTTCACGTTTTCGTAAGTTTAATTAATATGACTAAGTTTTGCAATTATTTTATTTTAATATATCCATACTTTTGTTCTTGTAATTTTATAAATTTGAGTGTGTTTGTTTGTTTATTTGTTTGTTTGTCTTTCGCTAACTTTACGATGAAACGGTGTGACGCATTGGCGTGATTTTTTTATGGAGATAGTTGGAGGGCTGGAAAATGACAGAGGCTACATTTTACCGTGGGAGTTTACCTAATTCTACGGGAAAACACTTTATAATACAACCGAAAAAATACTTACGTAAGTTTGGTTACATTCATTATTATTACTTTTATATATCATATTTATATATTTATATCATTATTATTATATATCAGTAACTGTTTGGTTTGTTTGGTTTTAAATAAGTATATTAAATCCTATTTTGTTTTTTTAAAATGTTTACTACGAAATGGCTAAAAAGGATTTCCTCATGACCTTTTGACATAAATTTTTTTTTTACTATTTATTTACTAAGAAGATCAAATTAATATATTAAAACAGAAAAAAAATGTTAAAAAGGCCATGTACCACTCGGTGTGCGAGTCAGACTCGAACTTGTCCGATTTTTATATATTTATATTGGAAAATCATGAAAATAAAATTTAATGGGACACCTGGGCGAATCGGGTCGCTAGTTACTGTATATTTTATTTTTTTAGAATGAAAGAATTTTTGCGATCGTATGGCTTATGTTTTAAGCTTTAGGCAAGAAAGTTATAATACGTTATACGTGACGCAACGACGAGGAGTTCACTTACAAAGTTAAAGAAATTTTTCTTTTTCTCTGGGATGATATTTCACTTTGAGTCATAAATTTCATGGGTACGTTAACAAAACAAAAGTCAGCTAGCTGGCTTCAATAAAAAATAATACGTAATATATATATATACATATATATATATATATATATATATATATATATATATATATATATATATATATATATATATAGTATCTATGTTTTTCTCTTTATCCGTTCAAGAATTTTATCATTATATAAACACGAAAGGTACAAAATAGCTTAGCGATCGAATTGAACATACAAAAATATCATAATATTCTAGTTAATTGATAATAAGAAATATAGTTTATCTGGATAAAGTATTATTTCCTCAATTAAAACTTAGTGTTAAATAATAATTACCATAATCTATAATAAATTCCTCAAAATGTAAACCTGATACTTTACATTTTAAATAAATAATTATAAATAATTTAAAAAATGGCTCTAGCGATAGATATTTTGATGGAAAAATAAAAGCGTAATTTTAAGTCTTTTGTAATAAATGGAACTTTTCCTTCTTTATTAGTTTAGTTTCTTTTTTATTCTATTATGGATATTCTAGAAGATATAAATACATATAAAACAGCTCAGTTGGGTTTTCCAGGAAGACAAATATTTGGCAATTAACAATTATAATTCTCGCTTTTTCTGTATACTCATTTTACATTCATATTTTTATATTCCTAACTTACATAATACGAATCACCGACTGTCCAGTTGACATATCAAAAATCTATTGTCAAAATTTACAAACTGACACATGAAATAACTGAATATTACACATAATATATTAAAAAATAAAACTGTTTAGAAAAGTTCCCTAACTGGTTTATTGGTTATGCAAATATTTTCATTTATTGAATGGCACGGCAAAGCAATAAGTTTCGAAAAATTGAATTCATTATTTATTTAGAGGGTCAACTAAACGATATTCTCTGGAATTGACTCGTATTTACCTTTGAATCAAATAGACTCTTTACCTTTCCTAAAGGTAACTTTAATTTTCTTCTAAAGTCAGAGCAGTATAAGTAATAATCTTCACATCTGTGGCAAAAACTACGATATTATGACATTCAAATTGGTTAAGTGGTGAAATCCTACGAATAAATAATAAATCTATTTGTTCGTAGGTGAAATCTATACATAATATGTCATAGTGATGCTAACAAATTTTATACTAAGAATTAGTATTCAAAGAAATTGTAATTATAAGTAGGTCAAAAAAGCCTTGAGGTTTCTTTTATCACAAAAATCGTAGATTAAGGTGACTACGAACTAAATAAGTATTGCTTATATGATATATTGCTTATTATACATTATATGGTTGCTGTAAAGCATTCGAAACGTCGAGAACCAAAAATCCAAATAAATTCGCGAAAAAAATCGAAAAGATAGTTTTATTTTAAAATGTCAAATATTCGCGTAAATCTAAGAAAGTAGGTAGGTATTGCTTATAAATGAAAAGCTATATTGAAGAAGTAGTATAGAATCAGTAAAGTCAGCCAGTAGTTCTAAGCTGCATACTGCTGAAGCTTAGATAAAGTGATTAAGCCAGTAATTTTCTGACCCAAACTCGTGTCGAAACGTAATTACCTCAGTCCAGAGAACTTCAAAGAAAGGCCCGCGATGGACATTCATAATATAATAATTGTGACATTCTATACCTAGATTGTGACCTGAATTACTCATGTGCTTAAGATTATGTAAATATTACGCGAAATCCTGTCCCCGTCTTGATTTAGCATAGTGGCATAGATTTTGCATTCGTTTACGACGTACTGACGACGTTACTCTCCGTCTGTACCAGAGAAGTGCTCCCACGGTCCATTTTGCTCTTCAGAGTGACTGCAGGGTACTCTTCCTAATGTCTAACAAGGCAAGACGTCTTCCAACGATTTTTACTTAATGAATCTCCTCATATTCTGAAATCGATATTGTGTCTCCTAAATATGACCTTTCGTTTTTCTCTGAGCATTTTGCAAATAGGTAAATGCACCCATGCATTATTTGTAAAGGAGTTAGTGTAAAAGAGATATTTCTTGATGTAAATACATCAGGATTGAATTTGCCTTTTTTTATCTTGATCCAGATTACCGGACGGACGGCCGGATTCTCATGTCATCGTTTCTATAGTGACATTGTGAAATCTATGGTACTGTATGTTGCCCAAGTTTGGTAGGCACATTGTTGCGATGGCCACTAAAAGTCCTCACATTAAGGATAATACAGTGTAAGAGTATCGTGGATGGTGGTTACTATTCTAGTAAACTTTGCAGCCCGGGAACTCCAGGTGTAGGTGCTTACCGATATTTGTCTGTTTCGATCAACTTTATGTGCTCATCTTGCTTTAGGTGATCATCAGGTGTGTGTCTTACGCCGGACATCGAACATCTTTATTTTTTTTATAATCACCTTTGTCATCTTTGGAGTTTTCTAGGTTTTAATTACTTGAAGATTTTTAATGAAATAGTTTTTTCCATGTAACGACAGTACAGTACTAATTATTATCACAGGTTCCGTGAACTAAGAGGTCAGAACGCTTGGTGGAAACCATGGGGTGCGGTGTGCTTCAAAGTCACTTAAACTCAGCTGTTGTTGGTTTAAGGGAGTTACTTAATTTAGTTTCTGTTCTCTTCGTGACATACTTGATAATTTATCCATCCGCTATAATCGGATTCTGTTTTCTAGGTGTAATTTTTGTCCAGTAGATCCAAATGAAATATATCTATAAAAATATCTTAATAAACTTGTTTTTACAAACAACTTATTTCGAATGAAATTCTTATTTTGATTTATTTAAAAGTACATTCAAATACTTAAATTACAAGTTTGAATGCGCCTGTTGCACATTTATGTTTGTTGGTAGAGTTTACAACTAAGCGTGGTCAGTACAAGCTTAGCTGTCTAAAGCAAGTAAGTATATGAGAGAAAATTATTGTGTTGCAATATTAATGGCATTCTCCATCTTAGAGATATTATAATTTTACATACATATCCCCAGTCTAAGAAACGAACCCACACCTGGCGTTTTCTGAAGCGCTACTGTGCCATGGGCGCACTTTCCAGCCATAACTTTACAGACTAACAAGAACTAATCAACGCAGCGTAAATCAATTTACTAGTATAATTATTCAAGATAATATTATATAGTTTATGTTTTCTTTAATAATAACGATGACAAAATATTTTACATCACTTTTGTTCATTAATCATTTTTCTCCCCATTCATCGTAATATATATGGCCATCTATATTTCGGAAAGCAGTTTTTCTTTGTTATTACAACGACGCGAATGCACCGTTGAGATGAACAGCGATAGATTTCTGTGGATATGCGATATTATTACACATATTATTATACATAAGAACACTAATAATATATAAAAGTACACTATCTTACATTCTGTCTGTAACTAAACGAAATTTACAATTCAAGTAAACTTACATTTATTAAATACTAAAGACTCATCCTTGCTTTGTCTGGGTGCGATCTAAATCCATCCAGTCACTTTTAGTGCGAAGAAATAAATAACAATAATACACACATATATACATACAAAATGTCGCATTTATGAAAATAGTCTAATTTATTTATAAATTAAGAAAAATATTAAAATTTTAACTTGGCTACTTAAATTTATTTTGGATGCCTTTTTAATTTTTCGTGATATTTAAATGTGTAACGAATTATTATAGAATTAAATTTTCTGGAGACGAAAAACTATTTCTTACTTTTTACTGTCTTAAAGTCGATTATCGATATGTTGAATATTTATTTGTTGCGTTAATATTAATTTACCTAAATATTAGATATAAGAAGCCAACTTTTAGCCTATAAGTATATTCGCGTGACATAGCACTGCTAGTATTATATCTCAGGCCATAAGCTTGTGTTACACAGCATGCCATGGGATAAATTTTTAATTTTACAAATAAGTTATACTGGCTTTACGCTTTAGAGTTTAGATTTATTAAGGCGTCACATATAAGAGTTGACGCTCAAGATGTGGAAACCGTATGTGATTGCGAATTGTTGCGTTTTATTTGCATGCTGCGAAGTATAAATAAATCGAAGCCATAAGTATTGTAATTTACAGTATAAGTGCTATTAAAAGGGTTCGTTAAACTCTATTTGAAATTCGGTTCAAACTTTAAGCTTATGTTGAAAACCTCTAACTAACTACGAGTTATATGCGGTTCAGAATACGCTTTAGCTAACTGATGCTGGAAAATTTATCTCAACGGTTAGTGGGAAGTAAGGAATTTTCTGATCGATACTTGATTTAAATATCAGTGGTTTTCACCAAAATGGTTAAATTCACTGTTATTTTAATATTGGTGGTACCACCTTGTGTTTTTATTAATATTTTACTTATATTTGTTGAAAAAAAAAGAGTCTAAAAGTTATAAAAAATGATGGTATATGAATATGAATAATGACCTTTGCAGATATAAAGAAACTTTTACTAAATCCACCCTAATATATACGAATGATTCGTACTTATGGTGAGAAAAATATGGCTGTCTCTTCGTAGTATGATTATTAATCAAATGCGTTTGAGACGGGAAAATGTGATTTTCCTTTTAGGTAACTCGTTTCAGTGTTTTCTTGAAAAATATTTTTGAAATATGTTTGGTTCTTTTAATGATTTCTTGTATAATATTCTTAGCGTCGAAAGAAAAAGCAAATGAAAAATGTTATAGTCATTAATTATTTTTCTGATTCTTGCGCACATTTTATTGCTCATAATTCTAATTTATATTAGAAATTATAGGATTATCATAGGAAAAGCTAAAAAAATACTAGTAATAGCACTTGGTAATTGGTTGGTGATAATGGTTTAACGTTTTAAATTTACGTTTTATCGTTTAGTATAGCTTTCTCACAGATGAGATGTTTTCCCGCAGTAAAAGTATTCTATGTACATATATGTTAGACATTTTTTTAAATGTAGCAGTACAAACTTTTTGGATATTTTCTAGGATCACAGTATAAAAACGGATGCAATAACCGTAAAACATATTTAATATACCAGAACGATCATATTGATTTACCAATTTTAATAAAACAAATCCTTTAACAATAAAATATTAAAAAAAAAATTCATTGTATCCCATAATTATAATATTTGATAACAATAATAACAAAACTATATAATATGATATATATCTATATATAATAAAACTTAGCGATAAAATGCTAAGTAAATTCACTTTTTGATATAGCTTTGTTTCCGTCTCTACATTGAATCATGTGTCGTTGCTTAGGTTGCGTGCGTGGAATAAATTGCAAATTGAAATAGAACTAACTTTGTACATTAACATGACAAACGGGAGGACACGGGCTTGTGGATTAGCATAATTTGCACTTATTAGGCAGTGATATATATCGTATTATTTCCATACTCTACTTCTATTATTATCTATATTATCAATATTATCTATCTATATTATCAATATTATCTATCTATATTATCAATATATTGATGTGTAGATTTTTAACTCTTTACTCGATCATAGATATCAATCCATTTTAATTTATGAACAATTTCTATGTTGGTTCACGTTTTATATATACATTCGCGTTTTCTTGCAGCTCCGTCCGCACCGTTTTATATTGTATTGTATTTTGTAGAATTATTCGATCTCGTAAATCGTTAAAGGAATCGTTCAAACCCGACCAGTAGATCTAGGGATTAGCGCTTTAAAGGAACACATAAACATACTCTTTATCTTTTTATATTAGTATAGATTTCACAAGTTTTACTATTGAAATAATATCAATAAATGCTGCGAGTGTAAGAAATAAGCTTTACATACTGGCGTTTGCACATTGAATTACAATCTCGGAACACTGTAGATCAAAATTATAATCATGCCCGAAGCATATGCAATGCTTTAAAGGTACTTAGTAAGTACATTTTCAATATTATTTGGGAATTATTAAGTGTAAATAAATGTTGAATGTGAATCAATCACGTGATATGAAACGTTGATGTGTGGTAATATAGGGATGTTAGATGAGAAATAAAGAAGATAGAATCAAAGGAAGGAATCGTTTATATTATTTTTTTTATATGTTGGGACATTAACACACATTACCATCTAGTTCCACGGTAAGCTACGAGGCTTATGTATGGATACCAGATAGTTGATACACTACACACATATAACTTTAAATACATACATATTATAAATATAAACATCCATGACTGTAGTACAAACATTCGTGCTCATCACACAAATGAATGCCCCTAGCGGGACTCGAACCCGCGACCGCTGGCACAGCAAGTAGGGTCACTACAAACTGAGATTATAGAACTAGCTACTCATCCTTGCTTCAAAAACAAAATCAAATCTATCCCACAAGAACCGTACATTTTTCCGGGATAAAAAGTAACATATGTGCTGTTTCAGACTATAATCTATCTCTGTGCCAAATGTTTTCTCAATTCTGGCGTGTTTAAGTAACAAGCATCCATCCATCCACACTTTCGCATTTATATTATATCAAAATTATTTAAAGTCTACACACATCATATAACTAATATACTGTAAGAAATGATATATTTATCATTATATCTGTTCTTTCGCGGAAATGCTTTTTCATATTATCGTTACCATCCAACGGTAAGTCTAGTTAACAAATAGTCTCAAACTAACCGTTCCGAAGTCCAGAGCTGACCGACGTAGACTTAAAAGCATTACACTCTAAGTCTAACTTGCAGTTTATTTCCTACGAACAATTTAGGTTACAATTCTCTATATGTTTTTCTTACTTTAAAAGGCTTTTTAAGAAAGTTGTCATAAATAGAAATAGTCTTGAAATTTTCTTTAAAGTAAAGACTTTTGTTGTCATTATTTCTATTGGACATACAAAAAATCCAAGTATGTATTGACTTTCGCCTTTTTTTGAAATACGTTTCTAATTATTATTATTACTAGTTGCTCAACGCTTCGCTCGTGTTCGCCTCTAGAAAAATAACCGGGATAAAAAATAGCCTAAGTCCTCTAGACTATAAATCTATCTCTGTGCCTTTCATCCAGATCCGTTCAGCCGTTCTGGCGTGATTGAGTAACAAACAACCATGCGAACACCCAAACATATAATAAAATTACACCTTATAACTATTTATAATTATTATAACTGCTTTAGAAATACATAAATCGAAACATTTTAATTGTCTTTTAAATGGACAAAAACGGTGTCTTACAGAACTCGAGGATCTATCTGTCCAAGCTGTCCTGGCAAAATTCCAAAACTGTCTCTTAATTTACCACAGAATAAAATATTTCCTTATTTCCATCGTCAAACGCTTTCAATTCCTTGTTTCCGATGGTACTTTTAGGTGTCTTTCTTTTTAGTTATAGGTATTGACTAACACGGCCCGCGGCTCCATCCGCGTTCAAACAACCAAAAATTAAAATTCTTAGGTTTTACATATTAATTTATACTAGTTTCATCATATTATACTGCAAGATTGGAAAAAAATGCCAGTGACTCACATTTCCATGGTTTCTCATGGAGAGATCTTTGAAAGTATCAAGGATTTTGAAATATAAAAATTGGATAAGTATGAA